CGAACTGTTTGTGCACACACAGCAGGGATTGTTGGGACCAATCGCGATCACCTCCGCCAGTGCAAAAATTCGGCATCTGATAAGTTTGGAATGGACACCTCTCACGCGGTAGATAAGGCGCAAGGCTTTAGAGATAACGGCAGGATGATTCGTTTGAACTAGGTGCACAACTATCGCGGTGGTGCAGGTTTTGTTCACTTCTCGGCTTAACCACACTGGGTGATGCTCGCGAACGCCTTCAGACAAAAGTCGCATGGTGTGATCTATGTAACTTGTTCCACAGGAACAGGTAAATTGGTACACACAGAAGGAGGTGACATCCACAGACAGTTTATCCTTCAGTCGGAGGTGTAGCATGAGCGTGGAAGTGAAGATTATGCGTAACTTTTCGGCCCCGTAATCGTTTGCCAAGGTTCTCGAAACTTTTTCTCCCTAGAACGGTAACCATAAATAGACGAGCTTCTTTCTTACCGTAGATGTTTCGGCCATCAGACAATTCATTCGTCTATTCCTATCAAAGAAGACTTTAGCTGTTATTGAGGAACAGATTTCTTATCATTGCACACTCTGCTTCTATTGTGTCCTCGACGCATGTTTTCGTAACTCTTCCCACATGACAATGGACTATGTTTTGTTTTTGTCGAAATTGGCGCGTAACTGTCGGAGTGTGCATCATACTGACCCATCCACGTCGCTTTCCTGTGGATTCTACGCTGCAATGAGCCATCTGGTCTACGTGACATTTGAACATCCATGAAAGCCAGACCTTCAATTGACTCAGGTTGTATGCAAATTGAATGTTTCTCTGGGCCCAATCGAATTTCCGTAATAATTCAGTTTGTTTTACGGAGTCGTCAGCTATATGTCTCACGTCATCCACATAGCGTTTAGGCAGTAGCAGCTGTTCAAGTATTCGTCGAGAAGCTCCCGAAAGTAACGATATCTTCCGTTTTTCTTCACTACCAATATCTCGGCGGAATGCAGCACCCAACCAAAGTACGTCGGTATCCGCAGTGTATTGTACTAAGGGACAGATTTCCTATTATTGCACGCTCTGCTTTCATGTTGTCCTCGGAGCATATTTTCTTTGCTCTTCCCACAAGACAACGGACCAGGTTTTGTTTTGGTCAAAATTGACACGAACCTATCGCTTTCCTTTGCATTCTTCGCCGTAATAAGCCATATGCTCTACGTGACGTTTGAACATCAAGGAAAGCCAGACCCTCAATTGACTCGGGTTCCATGCCAAACTAGGCATGATTGAATTTCCGTAATGATTCTGTTTTGGTCTACGGAGCCATTAGCTATACACATCGCGTCATCAACCTTATTGTTTATAGAGTGGCAGCTGTTCAACCATTTCACTCAACTGACCCTTCTCTAGTTTGCGCATAAACACATCGGCGAATAAGGGACCCAGTGGTGACCCCATAGCTAGCCCGTCATTTTGTCGTTAGAACTGTCCGGCAAAGCGAACCTGGACGTTCTTGGTACACTGATGAAGCGACATTTACAGTTCTTCCACGGGTAAGCCAATTTGCTTATCTGTGCGCTTGGTGTATTCAGTAAGCTAATTGATAGTCTCTTTAGCGGAGATATTAGTGTACAATGACGTCACGTCGAGCGCAAATATTTGCTTGTTGTCCACATTTTGAGTTCTAATGCTGTCGACGAACTCGAATGTGTCATGCAAACTATAAGTCGCTAGCTCCCTTCTTGTTTGTTCTAGCAGTTCGGCCAACCACTTTACCAACGCATGATACGGAGAGTTGCTCATGTCTGCTATGGATCGTAAAGGGATAGAAATCAGTCTGATCCCCAAATTCCTCGCCTCCGTAATCTTTCACAGACTGACTTACACTCTTGAAAGCCAGATTCGTGAAGAGCAAGTCGGGTTTCGTCGAAGTCGTGGCTGCATCGACCACATATTCACTTTGCGTCAGTTGTTGGAGCACCGTCACATATATTGGCGGCACATCGTTGTCCTGCTCCTCGACATCAAAGGTGCTTTTGATTCGGTTGATCGATGTGCCCTTTGGGACTGTTTAGTCAGGAAAGGTGTGCCCGAGAAATATACAAATATGTAAACATTATCTGCGCACTATACGCGCAGCTCGGGCTTACGGCAAGCTATCGCCACCCTTCAATATCTCCAGCGGCACGCGATAAGGATGTCCAATACCACTTTTCCTCTTCAATTTCGCTATTGACGAAGTAATGGGAATCGCGTTCACTGGACACTACTTAGATGGTGTGGAGCTGCTCCCAGGAGAACGACTTGGAATATGCTGACGATATTACCGTTATCTGTGACAGCTCACAGAGGTGTCAAGCAGCAGTGGACAGATTAGCACTGGCTGTCACTAGTTTCGTGCTATGCTTTGCACTCTCAAAAGGCAATAATCTAGTACACTAAATCTACCCCGATAGATGATGTAAGTGAACACACTACGTCTCTGCGTACGTTGTGATTATCTAGCTCGAGCTGTCTGAGATCGGCACTGCCGTCACAACATCATGCATGGTGACAACTGTGAAGACTTGTGCATAGGGGTACTTATGGAGCAGGTATGACTACCGAGTAGCACACATGCCCGTTAGGAAGTTGTCATGAGGCCCAGTCACATCTTGGTTAATTCTCACCGACTAAATGAGCTCTACTTTCTCTAAGATTCACTCTACAGAGAATCGGGACGGCGTTGGGTGGAAACCTATGGAGAAGAACCAGATCGAAAACGAGAGGGCGAATTCGGAATTTCCTTATCTAGACTAAACTACATACTTGATGACGTAGCTGCGTGGTCTTTTAGAAACGGAAGTGGAATAAGTGAACCTGGATGTTATGTCTTGTAACCGAATAGCTCAAGACAGACTAGAACTATTCAGGCAGATCGAATTTACATGGCTGTCTTAGTAGTGGTAACTAGGATTAGAAGACCGATGTTGGGTTCATCGCTACAAAGCATTGGTTCCTGAATTTCGTCATGCTATTGTGTCCTCTTGGCCATGTCTGCATCGTCATTGTCGGACTAGATGCATACACGAGTACTGTCTTACACCTGTTTGACTGACAACCAACAGCACTGGTGTCATTCGAACCAACTCGACTAGTGAATTCTGCAGCTAGAGCTCTAGATATACATCTGTGTTGCTCCATCGATATGGTATGGAGCACACTCGCGGAATAACGTCATTTATTACCGCGCATTGTCAACGATAGTTCAGTCGTGCGACATCCAATTCAGCAACATCTTGCACTGAAGGTGCGGAGCGCATGTCACTATTCGGTTGTCATATTTTACCATTGCGCATATCTGTGCATAATTCCACCCCTACTCCCCCCCACACACACACACACTCGCGCATCGCACAATACTGCTACTATCCGTTTACACCAAGTCTGCTGGTGTTGACCATAGATCGACTGGTTCGTCATCAATTCATCGTTCCTGGGGATTCTTTTCCTGCCCCCAAACGTCCGCCATCGATTGGCTCCTACAGTAAACAGAATTAAATTGACTGATTTATTGTCCTTTCAACTCACTGCGTGCGGTGCCCGACGGGTCGCCGCCACCTAGTCCACATCACCCTTGTGCCTTACCCAATCGAGTCTGCCTTTTCCCCCACTGCCTTTGTTCCTCGATTTCCTCCCGCTGCTTAGCAACCGCGTACTGTCTGGTCGTTTTTTTCTGTCATGCTAACCACACTCATAATCTGTGCACCTGTGCTGAATCCTATCCCTCCTCTAGTTTTTCACATAGCTTCTGGCCACCTCATTATTGTGCTGTTAGAGTTCCCTGGTCTGCGGCTCACACAATCGATATGCTCTGCTTGTTGCTTGCACCAGCACAACCAGTTTGCTTTCGGTTGATTTGCGTTTTGGTGAATCGATGACTACCAGACCCCACTGCCATTAACTGCCGACACACACACACAACCTCGTTACCTTTACTTCCTTCACATATGCTCATTCCGTTTGGGTTAAGGTACGTGGCGCCGACGGCGGGGTGTGGGATAAATTCTGCGATGGCTGCCCTTATGACCTTCTCCGATGACCTCATATGTCTGGTAACAGCGAAGCTGAGACACTCAGGCTCCTTGACAGATGGGCTGCAGTCGAAGCGTGAAGAACGGGGACACCAATATAGCGTGTTTTCCCGAGATCATCTACTTGCCCTACACATTTCCCAATTCACTTTGGTTGCGCGAATTGGAGTTTTATGTGCATATGCGTGCGAATAAGTGTGGAAAACTATTTTGGCACTCCTTTAGAAGCCTAACTACGGACTTTTTCACTTTGACTACCTTTCGTCTGATTCGCCATCAATAGCATGCCGCTCTGCATACTAACCAACAAACTATCATTTCCAAATTTCAGCGTCTTGCGAGTATCGGAAGGTCACTGCTTCTCTTCTCTGATCAAGAATCTTGAATAGGATGCACTAGGAGCCATGCTCTTTCCGCTTCACACAGTAAATTCGTAGAGATTTACTTGTTTCCGCCTTCATCATCTGGTTTCCTACCGGAATTGAGTCGAATCCGGGAGGCATTGTCCCCCAAATCAATCCACTAAAATAATCACTTCGATAGTCTGATCATAGCGAGACGGTACCAGTTTGCATAACCTCGTGACACGTTGCGCTACACGGTTCGTAATCACTGACGCTGTAGTGTTTTGTTACCATGCGCCAACTCTTTCATTCAAAGTGTTGCACTGCTCGATAAGCCTGTTCTTGTTTTTTTTAATTAAAAATGTCGATTCGGCTTGCCATGACCTCGGGATTTGTGCTATTTTGTTTTAACTTATCTGAAATGAACTGCACTATGCGAACTGACCTTCAGCTTATAACCCCACGTTCTCACCGACTTATATATGGAGCGTTAGATTTAGAACGGTTGATCTGTTCCTTTTATTGAACTCCCTTTTAACTATTGTCTATTCTATGTCCACCGTGATTATCGATTATACTATATTTCTGTTTTACCCTTCTTTACGACAGGATGACCAAACACCGCTGCATATGGCCGTCTTGACTGGTTACGTCGACATGATTGTGTTGTTGATGTCCGCCGGAGCCAACCCGAACCTGACCGCTCGAGACGGTTACACAACCTTGCACATTGCTGCCAAGGAGGGGCATCACGAGCTGATTCGCATACTTTTGGATGCCCGTGTCAATCCAAGTGCTCGTACCAAGGTACACACGCCTGCGCCCTCCTCCACTTTGGCTGGTCGTTGCATTTGCTGAACCCCGCCACCGGTAGTGTGTGACACACCGTTCCACTGTTCACAGTTAGCTTGTGGTTCGGACGACAAATCCTGCTTGTCATCGCCACCTAGCTTAGCGCGCTCACTTGGTCCAGGCAACTGTGTGCCTAGTTGGTGCGTTTCCCCTATGTGGGAGGTGTGCGTGTGTACCCCGACGGTCAACTTTGGCATAATTGACGTGACAAGTGGATTGGCTTGTATCCCTCATGTTATTTGAACAATGCTAATGACGGGCAACAAAAGCATGTGTGTATGCTTGACAGGTTGTACAGATTCATCAGGGAGAGAATTGCAAAAACAAAACAAGCCAGTACCCGCGCATCAGTGGGGCGACAGAATGATGGTATTTTAGTCAAATTAATATTCGGCTTTATATACCCGAATGAATACACTTTCCGCAGTTTACACTATGCACTGCGGATGTTTTAAAACGTCATTAAAAGTGCACAATTGGATAACTGGAAAAAATGGCGTTTCGAGTACATGTGTCACTTAAATTATCTGCATCCTCTTGACACGGTGCATTGTCGAAGCCCAGTTTCCGGATCGGGGCGAAGATTCCGTAAGTTACAAAAGACCTTCTGATAATTTCGCGCGATACACGCAACATCTCAAAGTTCAGTTTAATAATTGCCAAAGGACAGCATTTGTGACCTTGTGACTAATATAACTGAAAAATGTAAAAATTGATTGGTAATAGCTGATAAATCCGCAGTATATAAAAGTGAGAGCGATGTTCTATCGGAAAAGCAACAGCCCATTCAAAACCCCCACCAGTAAAAGCCTGAATTATCGGAACGGGTTAGCAACACGCCAACTTATGTAGCTGGCTTTTATGTGCAATTTTTCTTGTAAAGCACAATCGAATAGTTCACCATCTTGTTCCGATTTCTTTACACATCTGCTTGAATTATGCTTCAAAATATATTAGTGGCAAAAATCCATTCCAATGTATGCATTCACGTAACACAGTGTTGAGGATTTAAGTGTGATATCCGAATGTTTTTTCAAGATGGTTAAAGTCGGTGCACAAACAGCCAAGCTAGGAAGAGCGTTCCAGCGTTGATAGATCTGACCGGAGAAATAATTCCGTCGACAGTCTAAACGACCGTATTGCTGTGTTGGTTTTCCAGACTAGCTGAAACCTGCTGACTGAGATAGGACAGTGATGAGCTATCTTTAACTTAAATTTATCACGCTTTTGAATCAACTGCAAAAGGTGTTTGGTGTGTCATGAGGTCTTTTCGCAGCCGCTGAATTTCTTCGACTGTTGCCGATGGCACCAGTCTTTGACATTCTGAATTATCCGACGTTGTGACATATAGAGAGATTACCTAGCCTGACTCGGGGGCGCAGTAGGGATGTTGCGTTCCCACTGTACTGGGTATGATTTTCCCGTCTTCTTTGACGAATAATTTACTTTTCCGTTTTTGTTGACAGAAACCTCATGTTCTTGCAGTACCCACCACTTTTGCCTGTCCCTACTTCGATTCAGCACTGCTGCAACAATACCGAATTTTGTTATCTGTTGTGTTCATAGTCAACTCCGTTGTATTCTAATTATACGGGATTCCCACGGCGATTCTCTGTGCTGTATCCACTTTGTTATCAACTTTCGCCCTTGTTCCATACTTCGTCCTCCCAACATGCAATCAACTATACAAGACCAACGTGTGCGCAGGCGCCTCCACTAGACTGACCGGTTTGTACGCCGTACAGCTATCCTTCGGCTGTACAGGCCACTCGCTGCACCTGATGCGAATGCTGACGTTGTCGTTGGTAGCAGTGTACATTCTTGACAGTCCTGCAGTTTCGCGGTACGCATTGCGGCGGCCCAGCCACGTATCTCTGATGCGTATGCTTTTCTTAATTTTGAATCACCGAATGACTAACCGGGGCATTACCATGGCCATGGCGAAACGCCAGAGTTGGACCTAGTCGTCTTCCTCGATGGGGTTTTGGGATCGACCACATTCGTAGTTGTTACAAGTCCTATTACCACGAAGTTGGCGACCCTCATCTGTCATCTCGTCCCCAATCGCTCGGACCAGATGACCTATTCTTATGGTTTCTCACATCTGCAGTCAAAATTGGACGTTCTCTGCCACTGTATCGTTAACGTCTACCGACTCATTGAGAGTCCATTTTTCATGCTGTAGGTACGGAACAGACTGGTCTTACAGGACCGTTCTAGTGACGTAAATGCCAATTTCACCCCTTCCATACTCCTTATTTTCCGCTTTAATGTTTTTTTCTATTTTGTTTCTTTTGTCCATGGAAACCAACTTCATTCCGAGACCTTGTTTTTCCGTTTTTAGAAAGGATTTACTCCGTTGCATGTGGCCGCCAAACGAGGACGTCTCGTGGCTGCTCAGTTGCTCATTCAACGTGAGCCGAAGGCGGTCCACGCAGTGGGTCAGAATAATCTCACTCCGCTCCACGTTGCGACGCATTACAATCACCTACGTGTTGTGGAACTGCTACTGGACAATGACGCGGAGGCAAACTGTTTGGTAAGCCTCATTACACTTCCTCCCTTCTCCTTTTTATTCTCAACCTATTCGATACCTTGTTCAGCCGTGCTATTATGGAATTGCTCTGATCTTCTCCACCCCTTACCCATATGAAAGACGATGCTTTTGTGGCCTACTCATCGATGGCTCCTCGACTCACATCACGGTTAAACTACTTACCATCATCATGGTTAAGTTACGGAGAGACGGGACAGATAATTCTGTTTCTAAAGTATTTGACAGACGTTGCAACCTCCGTGCGGAATGGCAGAGCATTAGAGGCGACAACACGTTCGCATTAGTAATAACTACTCCTCCCTGTTGGTCTGATCTGTAAAACATGTTTAAAAACGGCATGCATCTACCTTCATCGAGTCCTCCTGTTTGTCATCTTGCCGACTGGTTTCCTCTGAATTTCATCTGACATAACTCGTACCATGGCTGTCTATTGACAGGCATGCGCACAGCAAAGCCCAGTCCGCTGGTTAGCAGTTCAGAATTACCACATAGCCAAAGGTGCTACCAGGGATCACTGTCGAGCGGTAACTGTGGAGCACCGGCTTCATTTTCTCCTTGCATCTTCCACATATGGGCACACGCTCATACACACATAGTGTTACTGAGCCGTGAAACCCGGTCAGTTGCTGTAAAAAGCTGAGATATTACGGATCTAACAGACCTCCAAAGTTTTTAGACTCCCCACCTGTGTTTGCACCTTTATCCATTAAAGTCAACAAAAATATCACGCTCCTCATAAGCAAATGCAGGGAATGGCTTGTGCAGCTTCCAGATGCTATCTCGTTTATAGCTGTTATCGTATCTCTAGGGTCGAACTCTGTTGTGTACACTTCGCACTTTGCTTTATGTACCCGAGTGAGTGCGTTTGCGGCATTTTGCCGTGACTACTGAGGATGTTCTAAAAGAATGCCATTTAAAATGCAACGTTATCAAAATCGCATTGGGAGCACAGCTGTACCTCAAACAAACGATTCTGAATCTGCATCATCTCAACAGTCATCAGCAGTGCGCCGGCACACTGTACCGCCGCTTCGCTGCCACGCGACCACCACCAGTGACGTCTGGGCTGCATACCGCGGCGACATCCGCCGCTACGCAGATTCGAACCGGTGACCTAAGAATTGCAAGCCAGGCATGCAATCGTTTCGGCTACCGGTTGACTCAGTGTCGAAGCCTAGTTTGCCGATCGGGGCTGAGATTCCTCAACTTACAAAACGCCCTTCAATAATTTCGCTTGTTGCACGCAGCATTAGTGACCTTGTAAATAGTTTAACGGAAGAAAATGTCACTGGTTTTTAGTAAAAACTGGTAAATACGCGGTCGATAAAGAACGGTGTTTTAGAGGAAAAGCAACGGTTGCTTTAAAGGCTTCGCCACATAATGAGCCGCGTTATATGTTGAACAATCTACCGCCGTCATCCAACGGCTTTACGACTTCATGAGTTTGGTTCCTGTTGGGGCCGGAGGATGCGCACTACTGGCGAGTCCCAATGGAATGAAACGGTTGTCTAGTTCCCTACTGGATGTGTGGGAGGCTGTCTAACTGCGACTTTACCTGGATGAATTATGCATAAAAATTTATGCGATTTCTTTACACACTAATGGTATCAGTACTATGTCATTTTTGTGCATCAAGACCGGTACAGTTGTTCTAACGCTTCGCTGTAGTGCAGCCGCAGGTGGTTGTACGCGGGTTTGGATACTGCCCGGTGTACCATACCTAGATAGAACTGGGGACTCGAACCCGAGATTTTGAGGTTGCAACCCAAACACCTGAACCACTGCGGCACAACCTCTCCTATGGTAGGAAATGAGCCCTGCAGCGCACCATTTTCCGCTTTCATCAGTCGTTTCGTCTGGAGTTACCTTTGTTCTTTGTGATGAACTGCGCGAACAACATTATGCTCGCCAAGCATGCCGAATCCACTTCGAACTTACAATTTCCCCAACGGAATCGTTCGAACCAACCTGCTTTATCAGTCGTCTACCTCACTTATGCATCATCAATCCTCGTTATCATTCTACACGTTAGCTGGGAGTGGGAAATACCTCCTCAGCTGCTGTGCGGGTCCCCATATCTTTGCGCCAACCTCACTCTTATGTTTGAATGCTATTTATCCCTCACATTATGAGCTATTTTATTCCAGTGTGTCAGTGCAGTTACGTATGTTCATTTACAGTTCAATCATTCTCGATGTCTAGGATTTTAGGTCACGGTGTCATCCACGGATGAGTGTGTATGGTCGACCTGGTTTCTACGATCCCGCAACTCAGCTGCAACGGGTTCGATTAGTTACGACCATAAAATCTACGTGCATTTTTGGTACATATACAAAATAATCGTGGCACCTCATTAGGAAATGCTTTAACTGCTTTGTTCAATGTTAAAGGGCAATTACCAAGCGCCATTCTCATCTTCCTTATGGGCCAGGGAGGGATTAGCGTCGGTACGCAATGCCGACACTTCGTTGCTGCGCAACCACAACCGATTGCACGTGACCATAAAATGCTGCGAGAGTCGCCCAGTCCCTACACAGACGGGGCCCTCAAGTCGGCCGTTGCGCTTTTCGCTAAACATCATATTTTACATTTTTTATGTTGGTATATCATTTCCACAAGAATACGCTGACAGTTACTTTCTTAAATCAACTTCCAAGATCACTGTGACCAATCTACTCAATCCACTTTTTGAGTATGCACGCTGAGATATCGCGTACGATCCCCGATCTATCATTATCTATCATCTTTGGACACAAAATTTTACAGCTGTAATGAGTTTTAAAAAATACCTTTTAATGGAGCGTTTCCCTTTTGTGAATGGACGTAACTCCCGAATATGGAGCAAAGCGTTATGCAATCGTTGCTTAATCGAGTTATGTTGTCTGCACCTTTCTCATTTCTCTACCCATTTGTAAACGTTAACGTTTTTAATGGTGTCCGTTGAATAAATGGACACTTGATACCGTAAGATGCAGAAAATACTCCCATTTTGTGTTACATAAAGCTTATGCTGAGTTAAAAGTTAACTTGAACCCACGCTGTCGGATCACAAGCAGACTTGTGATCCTTAAGGTTACGGGTCGCGGAGTTTTTTGTGAAAATCGCTGTGAGGTTCGTCGTATTCCATAATGACTTCCAGTCTACCCCCACTTGTGTCATGCTGTGGCGTCTCACTAAATGCAGTGAGAACCTAGTCAGCAGAAGCCCCGAGCTTCTCCGCCTATTTCACCAGATTGCAGCCTACCATGTGATCGTTTTCCCCAGACTTGAAGGGTGACTTTGAGTCTGTCCATTGCCAGTGCTGGCGATGTGTGTGTCAGAAAGGTGTTTTTCCGAATATTCTTTCTACCAACACTCCGAGTAAATGTAGACGTCTGCAGGCTGCTCTCCTCGTACTTCGTTACGACAAGTAGACTATGTGGGCGTTTCCTGACAGCCCAGTTCCCTCTAGATTTGTGGTCCGATTGATCATGAATGTATCCCCTACTTCATCCCACAACTTTTGAGGTACACGCTGTGCTAGTTGACCGACTACCAACCGCATGTCATATGACTTTCTTTGTATCGGACCTAGCCCGCTAGATAAGCACTATTGAGTAGGTCGAGATGCGTTGCGCTGCACGCCACGGCACGTGCGAAGTTCCTCCTACTGCACCGAGCCCTATTTGTTATCGGTTTTCACAATCTCGGAACTGCCATTTATCAAAATGGTCCTTCAGTTTGCTTGCATAAGTAGCTGTATTGCTTCTGATGGTCGCATCACGAGGCAGATTACCGCACGCACTGCTAAGCTTCATGTGACCTTTTGTGACCTCAGCCACAGGGAGACAGTTACATATGTGCCTATTAGGCGACGTAAACGGTGCGGCTGTAATTGCTGTATGTGGATCAGCAGCGACACCTGACCCCTTAAACACGAAGGATGTTCGCTGTGATCCATCGTCTTGCCTCGTTGTTTAGTGCCTGCTGAAATCATGCGAGTTCAACAGGCCGTGTTGCTCTGCATACCGGTCATTTGACCCCCTTTGCTTACATTATTTACCAAAACTGCGTAGGATGCTGTGACATTGCGAGGGTACACAAAAAATTTCACCAAAGAGCTGAGTCGGGTTAATGCCTGTCATCTTCGCCGGGATCTTCCACACCAATATTGAACGCCCCATCAAGTTTGACACGACATGGTTGTCGGTGACCCTCCTCTTGCGCTCATCCTCTTATTTTTTGGTCTATCCAACTTCACCCACCGGTTTTTATTTCCTACCCATCCCTCTTTTATCACTCCCATCATTATTGCCGTTAATATTATTACTTTGCCATTATTATTTTAATGAAGTAAATTCGACCGAACCCGTGGTGCACGAATCTCGTTTACTGAGTTGAGGAACCACTTCGAACATGGTCCTCGCTCTCACCCGATTGGTCTATACCGAGGTCGCTATGTGTAGGGGCGATCTTTCCATCCAAGGCAACTAAGGCATGTTTGGTGACGTGATTTTACAATTGCCAGCTTGGACTGAATTCATTCGATCTCCACACGGTTTTCCTCATCCGGCATTTCGCAACCTACTCCATCTTTCATCAACACGTCTTACGAACTGCTCTCTCTTCGTTACCCCAGGCCGGAAATGGATATACGCCTTTACACATCGCCGCCAAACAAAATCATCTGGACATCGCTACCCTTTTGCTGGCTCATGAATCCGATCCCACACAGAGCGTGAACGCGCCGTCTCGAAGTGGCTTTACCCCTCTCCATCTGGCTTCCCAGGAGGGCCACACCGATATGGTGTCCTTACTGCTTCAACACTCTGGGGACCCGAACGTGCGGTCCAAGAACGGTCTTGCTCCTTTGCACTTGGCTGCACAAGAGAACCACGTCCCCGTGGCTCAGGTCTTGTTGTCGGCTGGTGCTGAAGTCTCCCCGCTCACTTTGGCCGGCTACAGCCCTCTGCACACCGCTTGTCACTTTGGCCAACTGGAAATGGTCCGCTTTTTGTTAGAAGTCACTCGTGGCTCGGATATCAATCACCCTACACAAATGGGTTTCACTCCGCTGCATTTAGCCACCCAACAAGGCCACTCGCAAGTGGTTCGCCTGCTGTTGGAATCGGGCGCGGATGGGAACCTACGAAATCGGGTTAGTTGGTTGTGTACATTCCGGTCCTGATGTAAACGCTGCTTGTTCGTTGTCGCTTCTTATATACACTTCACCGCGAGTGGTGTCAAGACGTATATTACTTCACTTGCACCTTCATATCAACTGCATTATTGTTTCACTCCGTTTCCTTCCATTATCGTGTGCCTTCCCTCCTCTCCGAAGAGGGATCACATGTGTCTCTGTTTTCTGCCGAGCTCTTCCATAGTGGACGTTGTGCAACAAGCCTAGCAAACGCGGAAGACATAAATCTCCTTTGTTGTACCGTTCCTTTGTACCAGCTTTTCTGAAAAGCTTAACGCGCAGGTGCTTCGAAGTGCAAGTTACTGTCACAGGACTTGGCCGTGGTATCATCGATTCTAGCAATAAGTCCGCTTACTCTGATACTTTATCGCCTCGGTCGGTTGAACGTGGCGATGGACTCTTGTACTCACCAGCAAAACGCTTATGACTTTTTTGTAGTCTTGATCCTCTGTTAAACTGGCGAGATATCAATATCATTCAAAAGTTTGCAGATGAGTACTAGGGGGAGTTGAGTGGTATTGGTAGAAATTCGTCACATCTATACTCACACAGACAGCTATCACGCGCCCGCAAAAGCTTATAATGCCAAAAGTTAATTGAAGGTGTAAGTTTGGTAATTTTCTTTGCTTGATGTTGTGGCTCTCCTGTTCTCTGTAGAGCAGTAACGCGTAAGTCAGTGGATAGTGAGCGGCGCTATTTCACATCTAGTAACTTATTCACGATGGTCCTTACCGTACTCCGTAGTTCAGTGGTCTCAAACGCGGACTGGCAACAGTCGAGTTGCGAATTTGAACAGTACCAGGGTCCGTGGAAGGCGCTTTTCAATTTATTACCTTTTTGTGTGCTCGGTTCAAGGTAACCGGGTTTTTTTTTGTTTTCCACTCTAGGTCCGCTTTTTTCGATTTTGCTTAACTTTGTTGATACACCACAGTCTGCGCGCGTAGCTCATTGTTTGTGTTTATTTTGCTCGCCAATGTGTCATTCCCCTCCCTATTTGAACCACGTCCGTGAAATTTGTCCCGTCGCTTTGTTTACGAAAATATTTTAAGTGACTCTCGGATTGACTTGAAATAGCTGTCTCCGAGGCCTAGCTAACCTCAGCTTATTACCGTGTGGTATGCTTGTGAACCTCGTCTCCTTCAGTGAGTAAACAAATTTGTCTGGTTTATTTTTCCTTTGTTTATTTTGTCTCACTGTTGTCTTTCCAGCTTCTGCCTGTTTGGGCGTGACACCCTTACGCATTCCACAAGCAACTCCTCAACCGTAATCGAAATAATTTCAAATACTCGTGACCTTGGTTAGTTGTTTAGCTACTGATTGGTTCGTCGGGCTTCATAAAATGACTACCTACGTTTAGCCGCCATACGTGGTAGTAGTATCGTCAGTGCGGTGCTGTGCAGTGGGCAATCTTGTTGATACTGCTGTCTGGTTCAAACTCACTGATACTGCTGCAGAAGTTTACAACGTTGCTTCTCATCACTGGCTGTCTTTGTTTTTCTCCGCCTCACAGCAAGGACTCACACCTGCGCACATTGCTCGCAGACAACATTTCGTCACCATTTTCGATATTTTGAAGACAGTTACCACGACAGTGGTGAGTTGGGAGGAGGAACGGGAGGAATTGGACGATACACTGGTTCTGGAACACCCGGACTATATGAAAGAAAAACTATTATCTGATTCCGATGACGAAGCAGGTCAGTGATATATTTACTCCCCCGCTATATTTGACTTTGCTGCTGCATACATAGACATATGTCGAAACGCGGAAATGCCACTATCATCTCTCGTGCTGTTGACCGGGCAACCGCGCTGTCTGAGATCTATACACGAATTCTATTCACGGAGTTTCGCGTTTTAATTTGACTCTGCAAAACGACAGCAAGCGCATATCTGAGACTGCACTGGACATTCGTTCCATCCCAATAGGGACACTGGGACTCAGTAGCTATTCAGGTTTCCAGAACCCCGAAATCACAGTGATGCAGTTTACCGGCCGGTCGTCAAAAAGGATTGCGATCCTGATTGGTACTTCGGAACTTAGTGGTTCGAATCCTCATAGATGAGTCCGACCTCGGGTGAGACTGGTGGTCGTTGCATGTCAACGAAGCATTCTTACACTGCGCCGAAGTATTAATAATGACTTTCTTTTTACGGATCACGCAAATTGCAGTCGATGACTTATGCCACTGACAGCCACGAATGGCCGCGACAGTTGTGTCCCCTGCCTTGTCCTGTACTCCATAGGACAGGGTTGCCTCTCTCTCGGAACTGTCAGCACTGTTATGGCACCGGAAGCTGTTTGGGTAGTTACTTATGTATTACTGCATTGTTGCTGCCATCGTAACGTCGGTACATTGATACTACCATACACCTATACCGATGTTTTACTGACTCTCCATCGATTACAGGCAGGCCGGGATACTGTATGGGTGCCAACACTCCTGCAGGAGTGGGAACTCGAATCTGCGTTGTAGGAATTTCAAGCCAAACACTTAATTCATTACACCGTAGATCCCCAGCTGCTGCTTGGACAAATATCATAAGGATGTGACCCTCGAGTTTTTACATTTACCTTATGTATGATGTCGCATTCATGATGCTCCTTCACCGCAGTTGGGCTAAACCAACTTACACTTAAACTAGGTCTTTTCAATGTGGATAAAATTCATTACATGTTATTTGGTTTGTTCTGCGTACTTGCGGCACAGTAGCTGAGATGTTTCCCACCTCTAGCTAACGTGTATGATGATGATGCGTACTTGATAATCTTCTCCCAACTTGCACACGCCGCTCATGCAAATTGTGGTAAACTTGCGTAATTGTATCGCGTGGTATTTTTCTAAATAACTCGGACATTTTGTACTTATCACGGATTCACTTATAACCAATTTCTTCTATGTGCTCATTCAGCGAGTGTGTGTCGTCATATGCGTTTACTTTATTCGATATCGGCATTTTTAGTGATTGGCTGTTGTTTGACATCCCAGGTGTGGCTGCGCTTGATGTGCATGTTGACAAGGTGCCTACCTGTCTATTACCTACTACCTCGTAAATACTGGCCCCAGGAGACAGTTGGTCGTTGATGGAGGGGACGGAGTGCACGGTCCTTGTGACCGTGCTAGGCTCAAAGAGCGGTTCCATGCACTCAATGTGGAGCGGACTACGGTCCAGCCACCGCCTTGTGTGCACTTGATTCCCCAAATACAGCGTGCTTGTGTTTGCCTGTGAAGGAGTGTGGGCCGGCTTCGTTGGTGGAACGTGGCTCCCATCCACATGCCTCCCGGTCTTATTTCTTCAGGTTTACATGGGATATGGGGTGTGTGGTTGGAGCTGTGGGTGGTGCAGCGCAAACCACCCATGGTCCCTCTGTAGGCGCAGGCGTCCTATGGCTGGCCATAGTGACAGGCAAATCCGAAATGGGATGCCGCCAACCATGTATCAGTACTTCTGTGAACTCTATCCTGGCTGTCATTACTATGCCGACTTATCTGGCCATCGTTTGATTTTTTTTGGGTCTCCGAAACAGAACAGTAGAAACTTCTATGGAACTGCTCCGTCGTAATGTCGTTTCATTTCTTCATTCTCACTAACCGTGCTTTTTCCTAGCTGCTGCGACTGCCTTACTCTTGTACAGATGATCGTTACTTTGGTTCCATCCGCTTCTGCATTGTGGCCAGAATACCAATGCGAGAAGCTCATCAGTGCAGGCCACGCCTACGTTATCAGCCACTATTCACACGTAACTCTGAATTGTAGCTATGTATCCTAAACATCACCCGCTATCATGTCCCATGGGGTCGAATCAAATACATTTCTTGCCCTCAGTTCATTAATGCACTTCATCCCTTGACGATGTTAACTCTAGTTGCGGCACAGTAGCTGAGGTGTTTCCCACCTCGCTAACATGTATGATTATGATGACTAGTCGCTCATCATTAGTGGAATTAAACCATTGCTATTTTTCTAATTGTTGCACATTTTTATCTCGGAAATGCTATAGAAATGGTTTGGAAACAAATCTCTTCATGACTTCTTATCCTTAGACATGAAGCTATGAAAAGCCATGGAAACCACTTGAAGATACTGAATACTGAGAATAGAGAGCGAGAAGATAAAAATCTGTGTTGCTCCGTCGTAGGCGGATCGGGCACATGCGCGGAATCACTTCGCTGATTCCTGCGCGTTGGCAGCAAATTGCAGCTGCACTACATATTATCCGGGTGCGATGCTCCCCGTATACCTGTAGTCCGCAAACTGGGCGTCAAGGAATCCCACATACCGACATTGATTTCGCCTCGACTTATGTCTCCGGCAACTTGTTCTAACCTTTCACAACTCGACGCTCGAAGCATAGTGGGTACGCGATGTGCTTTAAATCCGGTACCACTAGTTTGTACCTATGTCCACGTGTGCTGCTTGGTGCGCGAAGATGCAGCAGCGGCCTCAACATAGATGTTACGGTTTCCGCTGACTTTACGGATAACTTGCTGCTACCGTGCAAGCTGACCGGCGAACTTTCCAGATTAGAAGACAAATGCGTCAGGCGAAAACTGTATTGCGCACCTGGCAAGCAGTATACTCAAATCGGGATCGAACCAATGGTTAATAAGGGAATGGTCTAGCGCTCATTGGCAGTGTTCAAGGTGAAGCGTCATCATTATTCCGCTCTCATTGGTTGGCCAATAAGCTTCGTCCTGCGTCGTGGTCAATTGCGCCGGACTGCTGCAAAGGTGTGCCTTCTCCGTTAACATCTTCCCCGCGAGAATTAACATACGAGGTCCTTCTTGGATCCAGCTAAATTCTGATAACGGACCTCCGTACTCGATCAGTCAAACGCCATGTTTGCATTTTCGGCTCTTCTGGAACTTCTGTGCGAGATGCATCCGAAGATTTCTGAATATTTGATGATACATCAAAACTGTTCAGTAGGATAGCTAGCGGTAGCAGTCGATTACTAGTACTTGCCGGGATGCTAGTTGGTCGCAGCTGGTTAGCATGCCTGGGTCAAATCAAAGTACCCTCTCTGACCTCATAGAGCATCCGGCCAAATCTTCTCCGGCTCTATCCTATCACCTACCGATGACTTCCCATGCGATAATCTCTGACCAAAACATGTTGTCCTGGGGAAAATTGACGCGCTTGAGTTCTGTGTCGCCCATTGTAGTGCCTTTCTATTCGAGGGTGTTTTTGTTGTGGGATAGTGTGCCTCGGAAGCAGCAAGGAATTTACAGCATGGCGCTTGTGAGGCTGAGCGATTGTACAGATCTGGTTGATTGAAACATCGAGAAGGTTAAAGCGTTTGATCCAATCTAGCGCAAGTGGATTCAACTTCTCGTGGTCTGTGACGAAAATGTTTCCCCAAGCGGTGAAATCGGCAAAGCGGTACCTACATTCAATCTGACCGATTAAATTCAATTTGCTGCCTGAAGTGCTAGTCGCTTGTTGGTCGGTCGGTTTAATGTCAGGTGCACCAACAGTCTTCCACAGGTTTTCCGAAATGACAGTGATGTCGGATGCTGTGTCTTTTTGCAGACGCGCCAATCTCTCATTGATGCTGCTAGTGACCAATTTCTTCCTATCCTTGACATCTTCGGTGAAGTTGACGTCAAACCATCCTTGTAGACTTGCCGCGACCTTGTCTTCGGGCAGTGTATGCTGGCCTGAACGATACTTTGGACCTGCAGTGGGTCTCATTGTGTCCACGTCTATGGCACTTCTGGCAGACATGTTTACTGAAAGGGCACCATCTCACAAAATGCCAACCTCCGCCTTGCCAGCAAGCTGATGGGGGTTTAGCTTGTGGACTTCTCCTGTGCTCATTTGCTGGGGTGTTGCTCCTTGAAATTTGGTGGACAGTAATATCACCAGTATGCACCTTTGAATCCTCCACCATAGCTGCGTCGTGCTTTAAATTCATGATCCCCTGAGCTTCAGCAACGACGTTTTGTAATGTGGCATCTGGGTCGCGTTCCAAAATCCCCAATATTCTGGTCCGGATTTAAGCATCTTTCTGGGACTGCAAACTACATACTAATATCAGGCACTCTAATTGCTCTTCGGTAAACGATTTTAGGTTAACTTTCTGATATTCACGCCTCACTGTCGCTGTATGAGCAATAAGACTTTCACTGTCTTTCTTGCAAATCTTCAAACAATTGTGCCGATTATTAAAAAACGACGACCGGTCTCCAAACATTTCTGTGAGCCGGGCAACTGTGTCATCAATGCTGAAATCATGGGCGCTTTTGGCAAAATGTAGTTGAGATATCTGTCGTGGTCGACCGTTTCCAATTTTGGCAACAGCAGACGAACTTTTGACGCATCATTGAGACTTGACAACTCTGTCCTGTAAACATCTTTAGCGCCTGAACCATCGAATATTAGTCCTGAATCAGGATCAAAAATGAACTCACTAACGCTGCTGATCCCTGCTTCCGCTGAAGGCTTCCCAGTGTTCTGGAGAGGTGTAGACTGAAGTCATAACGTTCGGGTTAGTGTCTTAGTCATTAGCAGCTGTACGGCTTCAAATTGCTGCTGCTGTTGTAACAACATAACATTCGCGCCTTCTGATGAGATTGGCATCCGGATTTAATTCGCCTCTGTCGCCAAAATCTATTGTGGTTTCCGCTGACTGTACGGATAAGCTGCTGCTACCGCGCAAGCTGACTGGCGAACTTTCCAGATTAGAAGACAA